GAGGACCAGTGTGCGAGTACTCGCTTTGTGTTGGTTTTTTCTGTGCAACCGTGTCTCGGCTTTTGCGGTGTGTCGTCTCAGGCCCGTGGTCCTCCGTGTCTCCCTTGCCTTGCTGGCTGCGTGGGGCCCTGGTTTTTGTGTGTGTAGAGGAGGCCCCCGAGTAGAGCCCCTGCCCCCGGTGGTGTTTTCTTTTTGTTCTGGTTTTGGCGGTCAAGAGGGACGAGAGCGCGTGAATAGGCAGGCCAGGCGAAGTGGCGCCTTTCGTGCGGTTCTTGCATAGATCGGTTTGCAGTCTTCTGCGCCGCTGTGTTGCCTAGCCAGGGGCTGGGAGAGTGTCCCGGTTGGCGCGAGTGAGGGAATGAGGCGCGCGCGGAGGAACAGACGGTCGTAAAGCCGCGCGCCCTTCCCTGCGCTGTGTTTCGGCCCGGTCAGGGCCCCCGGTGCTCGTCCTTTATCGGGCGAGCCGCCCACAGTGTAACACCCCATCAACAACAACAACAACAACAACAACAACAACAACAACAACAACAACAACATACCTGGCGAAAGCAAAGCGAAGGCGGTAATGATCCGAAAGCCGCCGTACTTCTTGAACGTCGAGTGCTCGGCCGTACAGCAGCACCACAGCGACCTGCGTACGACAAAAAACACCTGGTAAAGTTTTGGCTATACGTGTGGCTTTTCATGTACGACAGAGCCTGCTGCGGTTGGTAACCTGATGTGAAGTCGAAACAGGATACCATAAAAAGTCTGAATAGGAAATCCCGCCAGATTGCACTCACATGTACGGCAACTCTCGCATCCTCCTTCACTCCGAAACCCCCTGTCACATTCCCGTCGCGACGCACCTGGCCCTGCAGCAGGGAGCCGGGAGGGGGGTAGGCGCCCCCCCCGCAGCCGCCCCCAACCACCAGCATCTCTCCACCCACCCTCATGGGAACACTGGCCAGAGTACGAGATGCCAGGCAGTACGACTGGCAGCAGCGATGGTGGGTGGCGGTCAATGCCCCGGGATGTCGTACGAGCACCTGGGGGTGCGTGGACATGAGGGGGGCGTGGTGTACGACAGAGGGGACTTGGCGACGGGGAAAAAGAGAAAGAGCGTGGGTGTGAAAACCCTAAAGTTACAAGCTACGAGTTCCGACATAAACACACACGGACATACACACACATGGACATAAACACACACGGACATACACACACATGGACATAAACACACACGGACATACACACACATGGACATAAACACACATGGACATACACACACATGGAGTTGTAGTGTGGCAGAAGCCGGGGGGGACATGTACGGATGTACTAAGGAGTAACCCAGCGGGGGTTAGAGGGGAGGGCCCACGGGGTGGGGGAGGAGCCGAGAATGCCCGAAACCCGAGGACGGGGGGAAAGGGTTGTGTATGCACGTCTGCATGTGTGTCGGTACGACATCATCCTGACACGTGGCACCACGAGCGTACCTCCATCGTCCATTCGTTGTTCGGTGGACGCAGCGATGGCGCCGTGCTCGTCCAATCATCCAGGATGCCGTACCCATATTGTGCCGTGCCGGTCGTAATGCCGCCCGTAGACATCAGCAGCCCACTGCCGCCGCCGCCGCCGCTGCTACTGCTACTGCTACTGCTTCCATGCAATCCCATACCGAGCATCCAAGGGCTATCGCCCACGGACACCGCCGCTGTCGCTGCTACTGCCGAAGTCCTCGCCGCCACCCGTCCCACCCAAACTGCAGTAAATGCCCTGTCAGGGCTAGGATCCCAGTTGGCAGATGTCGTGAGGTCGTTCGGCATCGCGCCACAACACGTCGCACCGTCAAAGTCGATGGCGGCGCCACCGTTGCCGCCGTACTGTCGTACGGAGCAGTTGCCGTTGAATATGAGTAAGTTTGCGGGACGAACGTCGTACTCTGCATCCATCCAAATGTACAGCTGGCCAAAAGGGGGCAGGGTGCTCTCCGCCTGCCCAGTGTCGAAGTGTACGATGTCGGGTCGAAGACTCGGTGGCAGGGGGCCTGCGGCGGGAGTGGGCAGCTGGGACGTCATCAAAGATACATACATACATACATACATACTGCCGCTACTGCTTTAACTTCGATAGCTACTGCAACTACTGCAGCTGCGATAATGGTGGCTGCGGTGGCGGCAGCAGCAGCAGCAGCAGGTGCTGGGCCTCCAGATCAGCTTTACTAAGGCCCACCAAAACCCAGGCATTCTCCCCTGTGAAAAACACAGACACACATACAGACTGATAGGGCATGCTTCTACACGTCTCACGTTTTTTGTTATTTAAACAATTCACTGATAAAGACGCATTTAACGATTTTTTCGTGTTAAGCGATTCCCGCTTTCGCCACTCACCTTCGGTGGCGGCGGCGGCGGCTGCCGTACCGCAATCCACATCAATCACGGCCAGGGCAAGGAGCATGGCCGCTAAGCCGACGAGCGCCCTGCCGCCACTACTACAGCCGGCTGCTGACATCGCGCCGCCGCCGCCGCCGCCGCTACCGCTGGGCACCCGGGAAGCGGTCTGCTGCGGTGGTCCCGACTCGGCCTGGCCGTAACGGTCACGGCAGCGGCGGCGGCCGCGGCGGTGAGGCATTTCGCCTCCCGCCGTACTGCCAGCGCCATTGACGCCACCCCGGCTGCAGCTATGGCTGCTGCTACAGCTGCTGCTGCATATATAGCCAGTGCTACCGGCATTGCTTTTGCTCCCGCCACAGCTGCCGCCGCAGAAGCAGCGAAAACCCTCTCCACACGTCGCCATGCCGCTTTTCCCACTATTATTGCCGTCGCCGCCGCTGCTACCGCCGCCGCTGCCGTCGCGGTCAACACTGCCGTCGCCTCCACGGCCATCAAGGCACCCCATGCCGCCGCCACGTCCGGGTCTTATGCTACAGCCACCACCGCGCTCCCTCTCAAAGGCGCTAACTCCGCAACTGTAGCCGCGGCAGCAGCCGTGGGTGCCGCAGCCATGATGAGGACAGTCTGCCGTACGTCCCTCTTCCCCCCCGCCTCGTTGCTGCTTACCAAACAACACAACGGGGACCCTCATCGTATGTATGTATGTATGCATAAACGTACTCATGTGTATATGTACGAATATTAACAAAATCCGCGTATAGCAATTAGCCCCAAAGCCTTGCCGTACAATCCTATTCCAGAAAGGGCAGTAGAAAGGTTCTCCTCAGACACGCCGGGCGGTCTTCCGGTCGTCGTCGGCCCGCATCCCTGGACGTCCAGAGTCACGCTTAGAGCGTCTTGCCTCTGGTGGAGTCAAAGGTTGTGGAGGTCCTATAAATGTCCAGGGGAGGATGTGAGGGATGTGGCGGGTCTTTTGGCGAACAGTGGAAGATCTGATGCGATAGAGGACTTTGCGTGGGCAAGCTCTGGCTGGGGATAGAGGCTAGAGGCGGCTGGGGATAGAGGCGGCAGGGGATAGAGGCGGCAGGGGATAGAGGTGGCAGGGGATAGAGGTGGCAGGGGATAGAGGTGGCAGGGGCAGAGGCGGCAGGGGATAGAGTTGGCAGGGGCAGATGCGGCAGGGGATAGAGGTGGCAGGGGCAGAGGCGGCAGGGGATAGAGGTGGCAGGGGCAGAGGCGGCAGGGGATAGAGGTGGCAGGGGCAGAGGCGGCAGGGGATAGAGGTGGCAGGGGCAGAGGCGGCAGGGGATAGAGGTGGCAGGGGCAGAGGCGGCAGGGGATAGAGGTGGCAGGGGCAGAGGCGGCAGGGGATAGAGGTGGCAGGGGCAGAGGCGGCAGGGGATAGAGGTGGCAGGGGCAGAGGCGGCAGGGGATAGAGGTGGCAGGGGCAGAGGCGGCAGGGGATAGAGGTGGCAGGGGCAGAGGCGGCAGGGGATAGAGGTGGCAGGGGCAGAGGCGGCAGGGGATAGAGGTGGCAGGGGCAGAGGCGGCAGGGGATAGAGGCGGAAGGGGATAGAGGTGGCAGGGAAGGAAGCGGCAAGGGATACAAGCGGCAGGGGAGAAGGTGGCGGGGATAGAGGCGGAAGGGGAGGAGGGGAGGAAGTGGCAGGGGCGGAGGCGGCAGGGGAGAAGGCGGCAGGGACGGAAGCGGCAGGGGAAAGAAGCAGCAAGGGACGGAAGCGGCAGCGGATGAAGCGGCAGGCGAGCAGCAGCAGGGGATGGTGGCGGTAGGGGAGAAGGTGGCAGGGGACGGAAGTGGCAGGGGATGAGACGGCAGGGGATAAAACGGGTGCTGGGTACGGCATGAAGATCAGTGACGGCAGGTTTCAGACTTGGCGGGAAAGGTGCAACATAATGACGTGTTCCATGATGTTGATTTGGGTAGCTAGTTGGCGTGTGTGGCGTTGCCGGTGTAAAGGCTGTTCGCCGGCAGTGTAGGGGGATATTGCGAACCAAGCGGAACAGTTAGTGCAACTGTGCGACAAGCACACCCGCGCCGCATAGGCCGCCGCAGGTGGGAGGGGCTTTATAATTCAAATTCAGGAGTCATTTTATTCCTGTACTGTTCCAAGGGTTAGTACGTGGCCAGGAATGATTGTTGTCAGCCCGACCCGTTGGTACCGAAAACATGAAAGCAAGAGCGGAATCACATTTATATACTTAAAAATATTTGTTACCTTAATGTAACCAAGAATTAATCAGCTCTAACTGGTTGTGCTTTGGTTGCGGTTGTCAACCCGTCAAACATATACCGGCAAAACTGATGGAACCCAGCCCTCCATACGCGAATAAGGCTCATTAAGCAAATTTTTGCTACAAATATCTTACCTTTATCATATTGGCTTGGTTGATGCTGACAGATAGCGCGGCGTCAAGGCGCTGTCGCCCACCGAAGTCGACGGAAGCGAGCTGCAGATGTCCACGCATAACTATTGAGGAGCTAGTAATATTTTATCGCCATTTTTATCTTCAAACGAAATATCTGTAAGTTTTTCGTGTTAAAGCATAGTGCGTAAAACCGTAAGCCTTAAATGCGACAGCTAAGTCAAGGCACTGTATTACATGAGCAACCCAATAGATAATTATTACAGTTAGCGCATCCCCAGAAGGCGGAAGCCCCGATAGATCTTCATTCTGGATAGTCGGCAGCAGCGGCCGTACAGTCTATGTGATAGATAATAACGTTATCAAATTCGCTGATTTAAGCAGACAGCAAAGATTACACAGATCTAGATGCAACCTGAATTGTTCCTGAGAATGTCCCAACTGAAAGGAATCGTAGAACAGCGATGTAGACCTCCATATCACACCGGCCTTCCTGCGGAACAGGCTGTACACGACGCAAGTACCCGACGAGCCATAGCCAATCAGGCAGAGGTGTCCCTCGCCAGCTCCCTCTTCCCCTCCCCCCCCGACCGTGCGCCCCAAGCCCTAGAGACGCTTTGATTGGGGACTTTTGAGCTCCCATCAGCTCCCTAGGAACGTCGGGGTCCAGCGTCTATGCTGCGGCGTATTATTTGCTCCACTACTAACCTCATCACCGTTGATGGTGCTCTTGTGCACATTTAACTACGCAATCCTTTCCTAGCTACGCGAACTTCGTGTCATTGCTCGGTTCCGTACCGCGTGCCGTACGACGCCGTACTGTGTATTAATGCAAAGGCGCGGGATGCATTAGCAGTCAGGTCAGCAATGAAGTCCAGCTCCGATCCCTCACAGCTGGAAACCCTCCTCAGGTCCCTACTGCCGCTTTGCTGCTATGCCGCTGCTGCTACTGCCCACTACCACCCAGTACTACCATACCCACTACACAAACCATGGGGGCGATCTTCTTGTGCCACCTCACGGCGTCATACCCCGAAGAGCAGAGCCTCCATTTTGCAAACTGCGCTGCGCAGACGACTGTTTTCAAAAAAGAGTTCCGCACAAAATTCGTCCGAACTCTTGACTCCACTTTTGCTTCCCTTTTGACTCCTCCTCCTCCTTTCTTATTAACATTCCGAGGCGTCTCTTGCTCCATCCGACCTGTTATTTTTTAAATCATTGTCGTCCTCGTTTTCATACGTTGCTGTCATGGATCTTCACAGAATTTTCATTACATAAAACCACCTCCGCTTCACATGTCATCAATTTCATCCTCCAGGGAAATCTCAAGGACCAAATTATCCTCTAGAACAAAAAGAACAAAACCCATATCGATTCCCACTGTAGCCGGTGGGTGGGTTGACAGCACGGATTATCGAAAGCCCCTTTTCAAATCATCAGCCAGATCTGCACGCACACGTGCACACACGCATACGCACCACGCGCATCTCTCGCTTTGCCCCTCCTCCCCTTCCAGCTCCCTTCCCCCCCGCTTCTCCGCGCACACCTGTCGGCCTCCCTCCTCCTTACCTCACCCACGCTTAAGCGTGGTGGAGATTGAGGACGAGGAAGGAGGGTATCATACAGATGGTACTGGATACAGCGAGGGCAGTTGGGAAGCGTGAGAGAGACGGGGGGGAGACGGCAAAGACCTGAGACATTCGCAGCACGCGCCCGCGTGCACTTTGTTGTGTTGAGCGCAGGGGCATCACAGTGAGTGGTAGTTGGCGCGGTGGTGAAACCTACCGACCTACCGACCCACGGGTCCTTCGATTTTTTTTCATTCCATTTGCACACAAATGTACACATGCACAAGGACGTTCATAAAGTACAACTGCATTCTTTTCATGCACCGTATAGTACGGTACGGTACGACACGGTGTATGAGAAGAAAAACAAAGTATTGAGGAAACGCGTGTCATGTGCAAACACATGTGCATACAAATGGGTTTTACCAGTACGGCACTAGCGGGGACACAGTACGGCACTAGCGGGCATAACACCCACCGCATCCTGGCAGGTTGTTACGATGAAACCGTAATATGAACAAAGCCACTCGCGACGTTGTCATACAAGGGCGGGCAAGATGCGGCGAAAGGGGTAAAAAAAAGCATAAAACGCCTTTCTCTTCCTCCTCGAAGAAGAAGCCGCCGCCGCCCCGCCGCGCTGCCTTATCCACGTGCCAGCCGCCCCCCCCGCGCGCAACCCACCCACCCCATCCTCACAGTCGGCCCTCTCCGCACTCCATACACGCCCCCGTACCACACACCGCAACAAGCCTTTCAACACCGGCCCAAGATCTTCATTACAAGCCCCCTTCACACCGACCCACCGACCCAATACGAGCACCCAAAAGCAAAATCGCAATCACGCGCGCAGATTCACGATGACTCTTTGTACGACATGACATACGACATACATACAGCTGTTGTGGCATCAGCCGCTGTACATACATTCTGCATACCACAGCCGGTTAGGCTGCCGTACAGGCTCCGGAACCAAGCCGCCTCGCATTACGGAGCCCAACCGGACCCCAGAGGCACCGGCGGGGGGAGATGTGTATGTGTAGGAGGGTGGGGAGAGACCTTGGAAGGCCCCCGAAACCAAGCGACCCCCCACCGTCCAGTCTCCCCCCCCCTTTTGGGAGCTGACTCTTCGTACTGCGTGTGTGTGTATTGCCACACGCATGTGCTCGTCATCGATCTACGGCGGCCTAGTATCGGCCCCCATTCCGTACTACGTGATGATGCCCGTTCAGTGCATGTTGTGGGGCTCGATTGGTATTGACAATGTTGACGGTGTGATGTTGGTGTTGTTGGTAATGGTGTGGTGGAGTGCTGAGCGGGCCGACTTTAACCTCAGCTGCCACAGCCTGGGGGAGCTGCGGGCGGGGGTTGGAGGGATTGGAGGGGTGGGTGGGGTTAGTGGGACCCAGAGGGGCCTTGCTGCGTGCGCAAATTCAAATGCGGTATTCGGATCGCATGCAAGCGGATTTGGATGTGAGGAGAGTAAGACAAACCACTGACGTGTGTGAGGGGAAGAGAGGTTGGGGTTCTCCGTGTGTTGGTCGGGTGGGCGAGGCATTGTGATGGGGGTTCGGCCTGAAGGATTGGGAATGCAGGCGAGACCATCAGGTGGTCGCAGAGAATTTAGAGCTAAGGAGCGCGAGCCCTTTTTGCCTTGCACTCTAAGTAAACAAACGTGTTAGAACTGTTGCGGCGTAAAGTTTGACGTTAGGACATCGAGGGAAAGCAGTCCCTGACATGTAACCCCGATAACAACGGAGACTAAATTCCATGCTTTAGCATGGCATGATACGGCACTAGTGCTTGGGTCCTTTGATTCCACAAGGCCAAGAATTTGTATAAGTAGGCATCGAGCGAGATGCATGAAAGGAAAGGAGACTAAAGGAGCAACAAAACCTGGCGTAGCTGCGGTACAGGTGTTCGCGGAAAGCCCCGCAAACGAGAGCTGGCAATCGACTCACCCGAGCTGAGGTTCCCGCCAGTGACATCATTCACGCCTGCGATACGTGGGCCTGTTCCGAGACGATTACCTGACCGGCCCACCTGCCTGAACCGCTGGTCGCGGTATTGGCGGTGAGCTTGCTGCGAGAACATCGTGGCGAAGCTACCGAGAACGACGGGCGTTAGAAACGCCATCGACGATAGTTAGTCAGGTAAGGTGCAGTAAGTTTGAACAATCTCTGCAACTTTGGACTTACAAAGCCGTGAGGGCCCCCCAGATGGCCATGAAATAAGCAACGATGGAGCTGAGGGACCATGGCGACCTCCGCTTCGCAACGGTCCCTGTAAAGGAAATGTGCCGGATCTTGTCAATTGTGAAGCCATTGCACCAGAAGTTCACAAGTATGAACTTGCGCCGCGCTGGCATTGCCACGCACCGCTGCTTGTAATATAGGGCATCCTTATTTGCCCGGCCCCTAAGGGCCAACACTATAATGGAGGACCAGTGACACGCCTATGTTCAGCGAAAAGCAAAACTATGTTAAGGAAAGCCCCCTTGGGCGTCCTCGCGTTGTCTGCACCGCGTAAGGCTTGTCTTCAATGAAGTATGTTCTACGATATTTTACGATTCTTCAAAATTTGCTTAATATGGGAGAAATTGGATAATGGCGTTCAGACACCTCAGAGTACACGTACCCGTACATGCGTAAATCCTTCAAGTTTAAGAGCTAGAACAAGAAATCAATATACTAATCATTGCGTTTCGCAAGTCCACACGCAACCGTTGCGCAACCTGGAGGCGATAGGGCCAGCGGGGCGTTGACCCTATCCCCATCCAACCAACCGCACCTCTCCTAACACCCCTTGTTTGCCCTACAAATCTTAAAGCCACGTGATATTCATGTTTCCAGCTCAAGTATCGTCTCATCGTGCATATGCCTGGGTAACTGGGCCGGTGTCCTCCGGTCGGGCCCAGGGATGGCGATGCGCTCGCCTCGCGCCCGTGCGCGTTACCCCTGACTCCGCACCTAGCAGCTCCAGCGGCGGATCTGGTTCCGGATCCGGGTCCGGATTTTCCGCCCAAACCACAACCGCAGAGCCCCCAGCTGCCGTTGCCGGGCCAGGGCTCTCTAAAGACGCAATCCTCGCACGAATTGCTCGTGCCAAGCAGTACAAGCAGCCCATATCTAACAGCCCCTCCACCGATGGTGACGGTCCAGGGGCGGCGGCAGCACCGCCGCCGGACTCTGGCGCGGCCCCCGCTGCGCCGCGGGCAGCAGCGCTTCCTCGCGTAGGGCCCACAAAGGTCGACTGGAGCGCCGTGGTGGGCTTTCTGGATGCACCCGTCACCACGGAGCGCAGCGGCGCCGGCGGCATGCCGATGTCGTACGGCGGTACGGTGCCATTGCCTTCGCCCGCCAACGAGGCGGCGGAGGCAGCGGCGACGGCTGAACGGGAACAGCGTTTCATGTCGGCGCCTGAGCAGAAGGACTATATGGGTATGCTGCTGAACAGCCCCCGTCGTGACGGCGCCGGAAGCGCTACACGCGCCGCCGACGCGCTGGCTGGCGTGCTGGCGGAGCCGTCGTACGACAGCCCTGACGGCGCCATCAGCCCCGACCTGCGCATGGAGGAGTTCACCGCCATGAAGGAGGCACGGCTGCGTGCGCTTGGTGGGGAAGTGATAACGGCAGATCCGTCGTACAATCCCGGTGGAAACGTTGCCGTACGGGTCAGCATGGGCGACGGCGCAGGTCAGATGGCCGGCCCGGAGGCGGCGGCGCTGGCGGAGGCGCGACGACTGGAGGCGGAGGTGGAAGCGGCGCGACAGGCAGCCGCGGAGGCAGAAGCAGCGGCGGCGGCGGCGGCGGCAGCGGCAGCGGCCGCAGAGGCAGCGGCGACGGAGGGGACGGCGGCGGATCCCACGGCCTCAGCAGCGGCAACGGAGGCGGATGACATGTACACGCCCAAGGTAAGGTGCCGTACATGCAGCTTGTGTCACCCCCGTGTCACTGTCACTGGAGCGTGTATTGCGGGTGGCGGCGGTCGGGCCGAACACACCCTGCTGCTCCGTACAGTCGCAAACCCACCCGGCGCGCCCTCCCTCACCCCCCCTGCAGTATCCTACGTCTACCCTACATCTACCCTATCCCGGTGTCAGCTGCTGCTGCCGCTTAACCCCCCTCGCATGTGTATGTGTATGTGGTTCGCCTTATCCCGCGCCTCCCTCCCCCCCGGGGTCGTTCGGGCAGTTGGCCCCCCGATCCTCTTGCATCTTGTGATTCTTTCGTCCCCTAGGAGGTTTTTGATTTCCTTGCCCAGCCCGGCCCGGCCCCACATCGCTACCTCCAGTTTTTCTTTCGTTTTTCCCCCGCTTCCCGTCCCCCCCTCCCCTTCCCCCCTCCCCTTCCCCCCTCCCCTCCTCCCCTCCCGGGTTTCATCCAAGAGTCCAAACCCGCTCTCTCCCTCCCCCCGTCCCGGACTGCTAACCGCAAGGCCAGTACAGCCGGCTCAACCCGCGTTGCTCCGTTGCCCGCGGGGGACCCTCCTACAGCCCAACTCCCACTCGCACTCGCACTCTATACTTATCGAAACGCTCCGAAACCATACACCTGCCGAAACCCTCCCTAGGTTGCCACCTGGGGCATTTTCCCCCGGCCACGTGACATCAGTAAGGCGTACGGCGGCGGCCGGAATATAAAACCCGGACAGGTACGGCGAAAGGCCATCCCTAATTGCAGTACAGTACGGTACGGTGTACGGGTGTTTTGGGAGGCCTTAAAATGGGTGCCGCGGTTTGCAGCAATCCTGAACATATGCCGGCACTTAAAATTTCCTCTTCGGACTTGTGGCATCATATAGCTGATACAGTCACCATACACAACTCCCGCCTTTCCCGCCCACCTGGGATCACGGGGCCTATAGCAGTTTCGGACTTGGGGTTTCGGACGCGCCGGCCGTTCATTTCGGACTATCTCCCCCCTCCCCCCTAGAGGCCCTCCCCCCATATCAGCTCTTACAAGGTACTTCTAAGGTTATATGATTTCCTGCACCGGCGTTTGACACCGCGTTACTACGCGAACTTCTATACTCTCCTGTCAACCTGTCAACTACCAACTACCAACCGATTCTGTTACAGGAGTTGGAAACTGCTGAGCAGCGTGCGGAACGGGAGCGCAACTACGCGGCGGCCCTGGCGGCGTATAAGGCCCGGGCGGGGCTGGAGGTCGACCCGGAGGAGGAGCAGCGGGCAGCCCAGGTGACCGTGTGTGTGTATGTATGTGTGTATGTACATATGTGTGTGTGTTTTACCACTTCCCTGAAAACCCCCCGGTTCCCCACACACACACCCCACACCATGCACCCATTCCCCCCCGGTGGGTTTCTTCTTCTTCCCGTACAGTTGTACGAGGAGGGCATGCAGCTTTTCAGTGCCGGGCAGCTAAAGGCCTCGTACGACAAGTTTGAAAAAGTGTTGGCGGCGGTTCCGGTAAAAACGAAGGTGAGTGTCGAATGCGTTTGGGCCATGCGGGGGGAGGGGAGGGGAGGGGAGGGGAGGTACCGTTGTCGTTGTCGATGTCGTTCCCAGCGCCTTGATGTGCACCTTTATGTAGGCAGCTGGCTGCTCCCGAAATGTCAGTGCCGTACGGGCAGTAGAACAACCTCTCGTGAAAAGGATTTGTGTAAAATCTAAGAGGTTTTATAACCCCCAAACCCCAACACTTTCTCCCCTCCTCCCCCCTAATCACCGACACTTGCACTCACACATACATACACACATACTCATCATGTCCCCCGCTGGGGTCCTTTCCTCTTGTCGGGCCGCAATTTCTGTACGGCGTCGTACCGCTGTACTGCAATGATGATGTCGGAGAGCAGTACGGGGGCTTGGCGACGCTGCAGAAGGCCATCGTACTGGACAGCGTGGGACAGAGCGAGGCGGCTCAGAAGCTGTACAAGAGCATTGCCAATCATGGGGTGGCGCAGGTATGTATGTATGTATGTATGTATGTATGTATGTATTGCAGGTTGAAGGAGGGTGTTACGACACGCAGAGATTTACCGAAACCTGCTGTCGTAGTTTACCTGATCGAGACGAGAAGGAAAAAGAGGAAGAAAGAAGTTGTCGGAACTTTGGGATGGGACGCACGCACACACGCGCGCGCGTGTATGTGTGTCTTGTCTTGCCTTCTTTCGGGGGAGGGAGGGACGGGGGAGGGAAATTTCAGATGCATACCACATGTACGACAAGTGAAGGGTAAACTGCCGGGGGCGTCCGGGGCGGGGGGAGGGAGGTGAAGATGGAGAGTCGGGGGGGGAGGGGGAATTAAAGATTGGTCCTGTAGGGTGGGGATGTGTACGGAATGGGGAGCAGGGGAAACGGCGGGGGGGAGGATGTCTGGGTGGGGGGTAAGGTGGGTTTCGTGTCGTGGATCCGGGGCCCCATACAGGTAATGAGTCGCTCGCGGGTGGGGGACGCAGCCTAGATGCAATCCAGATCCTAATTTCCTTACAGAATCATGTCCGTACAGATCGAGGGTTGCGTTCCAACACAAAGCCTAACCACATAAAGACATACGCACATCTATATCTGTGAAGTGGTGTTTTGCGTGGGTATAAAGGTAAAGTCTAGGATATAGAATTCAAATTCAAATCCTGTCCTGTGGTGTTCGGGCACCCGCCTGCCGCCTGCCTTCCTGCCTCCTCAGCTTTTCTCCACACACACACATGCACCCGTACATACCGCCGTACACACATACACATCCTCCACCCCCCTCGCTATACACACACACGCGCAGGTCTCCAAGAAGGCTAAGCAGATGTTGTTCGGGTTCGAAGCCATGACGTAAGGATCATGTTTGTGTGTTTTGGGGAGGAGGTGCTATCGTGGCCAGGGCATTATTTTCCCGTACGACGTACGACTCCGGAAAACGATGCTGATCCTGATGACATCAGCTTCCCATGCGAATGTACTTACAACCCATCTGCCATCTCCGTACACCAAACCCAACGCGCACTCCCTTGTTGCTCTTCCGCATTTCATTACCCCCCCGTCCCGCCACCCAAACCCCCGTTTCCCCTCAAACCCCCCCGATCCCCTCACCCACTTCCCACTTCCCTTCCAATGACTACCCCCCTCCCCCCTCACCCGCCCCTCCTCCCTCACCCGCCCAAGGTTTATGAAAGCGGACCAGTTCAGTTATTCCGTTAAGAAATCCGATTACGACAAATACTTCAGGTAATGGGGGGAGGGACTGAAAGGGCAGTAAAGAGGAAATCTATGTTGCGTGAAAGGGCGATGCGGGGAGAGAGGGGAAGAAATGGGTTGGGGCCGGAAAGGTGTGAGCGCAGGGGGATGAGGGGGGGAGCCGGGTGCGGGTGCGGGCTTTCCTCACTCCACGCTCCTCAACTAAAAACGTAGGGAGGAGGGCGTGTGGGGGGTTGGGGGGGAGAAGGGGACAATCAATCCAAGATCAAACACACACACTTGCGTGCCTGTGCGCGCGTGTGTGTATGTGTGTCATACGACAGGATTCCTGCGGATCGCCGCACAATGTACGTTGCCACGGAGGAGGAGCGGCGGCGTGACGAGGAGGCCATGCGGTTGGCGGGCCTGGTGGCGGCGGCGGTTATCTTGACTCCCGTACTGGCGGTGGTGACGCTGGCAGTACAGCGTTGAGGCCTTTATACCAGACAGACAAACAGACAAACACGCACATGAAACTGGCACATGCATGCGGCTGCGGTAGGTAACGAGTAAAAGTAGACATGGCCATATGAGTTGAGCTGTACTAGAGGATTTCGTAATGGTGGTGGTAATGAAGAGAGGCAGATGCAGCCCGACTCGATCAACGACCCTTGGGTCGGCAGCGGCGGAGCGGATACATTAGCGATCGAGGGTTGGCGAGGCGGTGAGGGGTCGCGGGGTGTTGGAGAGGACAATGTTGCCGTGGTGGCGGAGCCGGCGGCCTTGGGTGTAAACCTCGCTATCCTAGGGGGTTGGAGGGAATATGCGTTGTTGCGTATGTATGTATGTATGACTCAGATTGCACTGTGAGCCGCGAGACCCGGGGGCTGACGCCGAAACGCAGCGTATGTATGTATGGGGGGGAATTGTTGTATATCGGGAATGGGAGGAAGTGGTTGGTGGTTGTGCCTGGCGCTGCAGCCAGATGGCTTATATGATCCCGTACATATACTTGTGATTCGCCGCCTTGTCGGTGTTTGGGTTCGTTGGTTGTTTGGTGCGTTCGTTGCTTCGTTATTTCGTTAATTAGTTAAGCAGTTGAGCAGTTTGTTACCACCAGCGCGGCGATTTAAAAGCCTGGGTTGCGAGGCACTCTCGTTGCCCTCTGCAAAGGGGCACCGGACATCGAGGCGCACACACATGTATGTATGTATGTATATATATGTATGTATGTGTGTGTATTTGTGTGTGTCCATATTTCCGCATGTGTGCGCGAGTGGAGAAAACACGTGACAACTGAGCTCGGAAATGTCGGGAAAGATATATGCGTGTGTGTCTGCGTGGGGGTAATTATTTAGTGTATTGCATGTGTGATGGTGGTGGTGGTGGTGTGGTGGTTGTGTTTGCCTTATGGTGTTCAAAGTTTTTAGGTACGCATATGTCTGCATTTGTCTGTCTGTATGTGTTCGCGGGTGCAGGGGCCCCGTGTATGTCAGCGGGGGGATCTGGGCCGGGGCAAACACACGCGTGTATACACACACGCACACGTAAGGCCCCACAATGGCACTGGGCCCCACAGTATTTCACGCCGCGGGAGCTACGCGCGTGTGGGGTACAGAACGGAGAGGTAATGGTACTGCCCGCCAAGCACAGCCCCTAGCTCTTGGCCATGTTATTGGAAAGGGCTTGTCAGGGAGGAGATTCTCCGGGTACACAGGAAACCGGCAAATGCGCGATAAGCAAACAAACGCAATAACGGAATTATGGAGGATGGGGGAGAAGTAGGCCAGGTAGGCTTGGAGTCGTGTCAGCGTAACGCAGCCGAGAGCTGTGCTTTTCGTCATGATGGGAGTCATCGTGTAAGCTGGAAAAGGCGCGGGAGTGGAAACTGAGGGAAGAAGGTTGCCTAGGGAACGGAGGTGCTCTAATTACAGAGTGGATATTAAGTGAATTTACAAAAGGAAGGTCCTTTGCGCGCTGTTGGCCGCTGGAGCGCTTTTTTCGCCTTCATGGGGCAAAGGGCAAAGGGAGCGGCGGTGGAGCTGAGCAGGGGGAAAACGCAAAGCATGTATAGGTGGATATCATGAATAGGTGGTAAATACGACCGGTACAATTTTTCCGGAAGCGGGATGTTGACGAATATAATTATTCCTCTAATTCCCGTTCCTATCTGGGAATCGGCTAATTTTGCGGCGCGCGCTTCAGCTAGAGGTATGGAACTTCGTGGTATCGACGCCATCGAGGTCTGAGCATGGATTGCCAATCTCCGTTGGTTGTAGTCTAAATGTTTGTTGACTATAGTAGATTGTATGGTTTACGACCGTGCGGCCGTAAGCCGGATACAGCGGTCGAAGTCTGATGTTTGCCAGTTGTAAGACACGCAACAAAAGAAAGCATATCCCATCCGATGCTCCTATCACAACGAGAAGTATTGATTATATTGAAATGTGTATTTCATCCTGATAGCTCTCGGTCGCGAAGACATTGGACATTTCGGGCGCAGGGAGGACCCTTGAATCTGTGGAGACGGTATTGCGGAAAGTGATGGTCTTGCTTTGTTGACTCATGTTCGGCATTTCATTTTCTGGGAACAAGCCTTGACCTGGGGACTGTCCTATGTGCCAGCAACCATCACTTGCACGGTCTTTGCCGAAGGGTTTCAGTCCCTACCTGACGAGTTGATTGTTTGAATGCAATTCCTTCTTCCCGTTTTTGCCTCCTGTCCGCAGTTCTTGGTGGGCCCAGCGGCAACTTGTGATTAGACAGGCGCACCGCGCGCAGCCGGCCGGACGTGTGGAAATGGAAAACCACCGGATAGGCCTAACAGCACGAAGGACCTACGTAATCCAGGCTGTCGGGCCCCTGCTGTCTAGCTTCACTTTTCGATACCTGCAAGCCTTCCCGGTGTGCTCGTCTTGCATGACCGCAAAATGTCACATCTTTAAGTGGCATTTGTGCAGTCGCTGCATTACGCGCTAGCGCTTAGGGTACGCACTGGCGGTATCGGCCCTCACTCTACTCCTCCGAAGGGCGGGTCTGCCTTCTATGGAGCCACGCACACATGACCGCGAATTGAATTCGCTAGGTTGCATGTCCCTCGACGTTTTACCTCTGGCTTCTCCTGTGTTTTCTAAATCGTCCCATCAGGCTGGGCTATTAAAAGTCGAAAGTGGGTGTCGAAGTACTTCAGGAGTGAAATGATGACTACATGCCGGCACGGGCTGTAAGCATGTGGCAGGCTTGGACAAATTTGGAATGGCAGGCGCATGTGCCATATTATTACTTGCGAAAATATCAGGCAGTTTGTGATTGGTTAAGATCGGTTTCGGTTGACAGCGTGTTACAGCCGCCGCCGCAAGGTGTCACATCACTATTGGCTAGAAGAGGGACATCGCCTGCCGCACAGCCATGCCCTCCCGCCATTTCGGGTCCCACTGCGCGTCCAGCATGCACAATACAAATCCAAACCTCATGGAATCATATACTCCGGATCAATATAATTTAAATAAATGCAATTTACAGGTGGCGTTGCAGCCCCCTGTGGCGGCAGCAAACCTGATTCGCCGCCAAACCATTGACTGCCACAAAGACGTACACGCAAGTCATTGCTAATCGGTGAGCGGATTTTCGGTTCACAATTCACGTGAAGAGAAGTCTTGAAACAACGGAATGAAATTAAAATCCTAATTGACATGCGATTGTTGACGCGGGTAAAACAAGGTAGAGGGGGGGGCGAGAGTGACAACCAACTTTGACTAGCTTGAGAGGTGCGGATACGGAGAGAACCTCCATGTAGCAGATGTTGACAGTGTATTTATGATGGTTTTAAACATTTGCATATTGGCAAGCAGTGCCAGTGCAATAATCACTTCGGCGGGCGGCTTCCTTCTTGTGGCATCAATGTAAAGCACGGTGAAGGGTCATAGCATTTCGTTTTTTAATTGTTATTCAACGGCCCAATATTGTCTCAGCATTCGGAGCCTTTGATGGTCGAAACGAAACCGAAGACTGACGGCGAAAATAACGAGCTTAAATTATGAAAGTCAGGAAAATGATGAGAATAATATCACGGTTTTAAAGTTTCTGTAAAGTAACTTGGTATCTGCGGCTAATAATCCTTGCTGCGCGAAAGTCTATGGCGGGCGCGGGGCCGCCGTAGTTAGTTGGGCTTAGGGCAGGATGATGGATTCGCTTCGTTTTTGACCTTAGGCAAACTAGTGTGCATCCACTAGCGCCTCACTACTAGCTGATGAATTAATTTTGAATAGTTACGGTAGGCTAGGAGGTCTGTGGGCCTTGCGCCCACATTCGAGTCGAGCAACCAAACCGGCCAACACAAGCCGATTGGGCAGCGACAACGTTTTACGTCGGAATCACTGTAGAAATTATCAGCTGTGTGTTCTTTGAGCTATGTGCACTGGGGGCTAGGAGGGGTGCAAGGACTTACGCCCACCGAGCCCCCTCAATGTCCATGCCCACCTAGGCCAGCTACTTTTCTCCCGAATGATGACGACGAGCCATGCGAGAAAACTCAGCCCCCATACAGGAGGCATCTCAGCAGAGGAGAGATAGTGTACGCCAACAGGGTGAGTGGGTGCTGAACGACGTTTTGTGTTCGACCGTGGCTTCGGTAGGCCTGAGAGTGAAACAACAGCGCAAAATTCGCGGTATCCTTCTTAAATAGATAACGATATAAGTTTTACTGCACACCTACATTCATGGTACATCCATGGTGCATTCTTTGTAAGCTGCGCGCCTCTGTCCTTGGCCTTATGAGCTAAAGCTTTTTGAGGTGTGTGCAGCTAACTACGTGCATTTGTCAAGGTCTTACTATAGGTTTAGTGAACGTTTGATTGAAATGCAATATGGACGACGTTGGGTACCTTTACAAGCCCTAAGTGCTTACCTCGGCCAACTTTGGCGTGACTAGCGGTCCCTACCTCGCACACTTGCAATCGATACAGCATCGTGGAATTGGGTATGGTTTCATATTTGCAAACGGTTTATGCCCTTGTTGTTGTCCACTCCTTTTCGAACTAGATTGCCGCAAACTGGCAGGACCTTTGCGTATCCAAAGCATTTTTTGATTGCAAGCTTGATTAGTTAATACTATATGCCCTTCTCTTTTTATTTCATTGCTAAATGCGCGTGGCGCGCCTGGTCGGAGAAACTGCGCGCATCATTGGACAAACAGTCTCGGCGCTCCCTTTTGTTCGGTTCACCTAATTAGCCAGCATAACACAAATTTGCACCAGCGCTTATTTTTAGGCGCGCCACGCACCTCAATCCTCCGGCTGCCTCGTACAAGTAGGGCTGTTGCGCGGGCCGTTGTAGCTTCGCTATCGGCGGTACCTCCTTCCAAATCAAATACACACGACCTTACCGAAAATTCTACCATGCAATTCTCCAGTGCATAACTAAATGAAACGCTCTGCCGCTTAATTCCGTTTTCGCGCTCGTCCGCATGACCTGCATCCACCCCATGATACGCAGATAGTTCAGGGGCAACGGATACCACCGTGGATCCGTCCGCGTCTCGCCCCTCACAACCTTCGCCACCACCCCCACCAATAACTTCCCCGGCACAGCAGCAGCAGCAGCAACCTCTGTTGTCCGGTTCCCAACTGCCACCGCAACTACAGCCGCCATCACCACTCCAACCACCTCAGTGTACGGAGCAAGAGCAGCAAAACTACCAGCCTGGAGTGCACGACCCATTGCAGCAGCAGCAGCAGCCGGGTGCCTCCGGGCGGCAGACTGGGGGCCTCGGGGGCGGGGGCCCGTTGGGGCCGTTGGTCACGACGGAGACGGAGGCGGAGGGCTTTGGCGGGGCTTTAGGACCCAGCCTGCATCCCTCCCTAGAGCAGCAACAGCGGCATACGCAGCAGCAGCAGCAGGAACAACAACAACAGCACCGGCATACGCAGCAGCAGCAGCAGCAGCAGGAGCAGCAGCAACAACAGGAGCAGCAGCAGCAACAGTACCAACAGCAACAGCAGGAGGATTTTAGTAGTGTGGCAGCAGATACTGAGGACTCGCTGCCGTCTCCCCAGCAGACACCGCATCTCTTGCTTCAGCCGCATCCTCAACACCAGTTGCTACAGCCCCACCACCTGCCCCATCAACAACAGCAACAGGCGCCCACGTCACCGCCGCCGCTGCCACAAACAGCACAACAGCAACAGCAACAGCAGCAGCAGCAATATGGGAGTCCGACGCAGCTGTCGCTATCATTGCCTTTGCCATCGCTTCAAGGAGGGAACCCCGCTGTACTGTCACTTTTTGGACCTGCCGTACAGCCGGGAGCGCCTGCAGGACCTCAGGGCATGCCATTCGAAACCCTAGGTCTGCAGCCACTACACCCGCACTCCCACGCCCTCGCTCATCCCAACCCCCACTCGCTCTCACATCTCCAACCCCTCCAACCTTCGTTACAAGGTGCCAACCAACAGCAAATCCCGCTCCTTTCGGCGCCCCAGCAGCAACAGCAGCAGCAGCAGCCGCAGTCCACGCAGAGTGTGACGTCGCCATCGTCGCCGCCACCGCCACCGCCACCACAACACCAACCGACAACACCGCAGCACCATCATAATCAGCATCAGCTGCAACAACAACAACAACAACAACAACAAACGCCGCAGCAACAGTCGCAACAACATCCGCAGCAGCAGCAGCAGCTGCTACAGCAACATGTGGTCTGGGACGAGCTACGGCAAAGGGACGCCCAAATCCTCGTGCTGCAAAAGAAGCTCGGGCACTTCCGATCTTGGTTGGCTGGTGTCCACGCCAAGGTGCAGGCAACCAACCCATCCGCAATTAACAACTACAAGCGGTTGTATGTGGGCAACCTGCCGCCAAATACAACTGAGGTGAAACATGGCTGAGGGGGAGGGGGGCCGCTGAAATGGATCTGTGTGATATACTTACTGCCTGATCAGCTGATTAGCTGATTAGCTGGTTGGCTGGTTGGCTAGTTGGCTGGTTGAATTAATGGATGGGATGGTTCTCAAGTGAATGTTTCACAACCGAGTTTTAAAGATTGAAAGGATTCTTAACGTGTTGTTGAACATCCGGCACGCAAACTCAATCTTTCTCTCTGTCTCTCTTCCCCCCCTTCTCTCTCTCTCTCCCTCTCTCTCTCTCTCTCTCTCCCTCTCTCTCCCCCTCCCTCTCTCTCTCTCCCTCTCTCTCTCTCTCCCTCTCTCTCTCCCTCTCTCTCTCTCTCTCTCCCTCTCTCTCTCTCTCTCTCCCTCTCTCTCTCTCTCTCTCTCTCTCTCTCTCTCTCTCTCTCTCTCTCTCTCTCAAAAACACACAGAACATTAAAAACGCACCACACGCGAGTAAAGCATGCGAATGCCGATGCCGAATTTACCGCGAAATACAATCGGTGTTACTGCCCCTAAGGGGTAAACCCGCCTTTGCCAACCCTTAAAAGCGCTATCAACAAGCCGCGGGGTGTCTCGCTCCCGCCTCCAAAACATTCCACCAAGTTTTCTTGTGCTTTACTGACCAGCCCATTACTAGGCTTGGGTCTCCAGCCGGCCCCACATTGCCTAAGCAGGACGATCGAAGCGAACGCGACAACGTTAGCGTCTTCAGCTCTGGTTAGGGCTGAAAAACTGACAGGCGACATGAAGAAATGACGCCCCAAGGTTAAAGCTCCTGCGCCAAGGATTTCGGTTCTCGGGTAGTTCTAGATAGATAGAGGAGAAAGCGGCCCCTGGTCTTTGGTGTGTGCCTGCGTTGCCCTTCGTGGCTGTTGCACACCATCATCCACATTATCCACATTATCCATCGTCCATCATCCATCGTCCATCGTCCATCCACCTGTCAAGCCACTTAGCCAAACCGGGCTAAGTTAGCCAAACAGGCTGGTGTGGGGATGGTGTGGGGATAGTGTGGGGATGGTGTGGGGATGGTGTGGGGATGGTGTGGGGATGGTGTGGGGATGGTGTGGGGATGGTGTGGGGATGGTGTGGGGATGGTGTGGGGATGGATAGAAAGCTTTTCTAGCTTGTTGGCTCGGGAGCGGAGGCGTTTAACTTGGGGTTTTATATTCAAGGTTCATGTTGGGCTCTGGGATGGGAGGGTCAAGGGGGCCAGGAGGTTGCCTTTTGGGGATTTCGACGGTACTTCCTCCCTGGCAACCTAGTTTTCACTATCAGGAAACCCCCGCAGGACCCCACCGCTTCCTTAAGTTGCAGAAAGCCGTGTGAAGGTTTCTTTAGCTCCTAATCAGGACATGACAGGGCATGGTCTGTGGCGACTTGACTTTGGGCCTTGTGTAATCCGTCTTCATAACCATATCCGTTGCCCGCCAATTTTGCTTATTTCTTATCTTTCGTAGTCATTTTGAATTAAGTCGCCATGGCTTGCAAAATTTTGTGTGCGTCTGTAATTCAAAAATGATAGTTTCTTCCCTTCCCTTCCTTTCATGAATTACAGGACGAACTGAAGCATTTCCTGCACAACCTGATGGTCCGGACGGGTGCGAATGCTGCTCCAGGGAACGCCATCCTCTCCTGTAAACTCAAAGCGGTGAGTGAAACTATTTTGACAAACAGAGGTGTTCTGGTTTCGGAGCCGTTTTCGTTATATTTTATCCGAAAACAGTTCATGCACGTTGCACTTCGTATTCCGCTGCCTGGTTTCGGAGCCTTCAACCGTCAATATCTTGTGCGCAGTACGATAACTGACATCCGGTTTCAAAGCATATTATTATTCTAAAGCCTCCCCATGGCATTCTAAGGGCTTTCAAACCCTGTTAACCAAAGCCCTCTTACCCCAAACTGTGTTAGCCCCACATCTTTATTCCTGAATTCCTCGATCTTCAACGTGGATCTGGATATGGATCCGGACTTGGGTCTGGAGACTGGCTTCCAAATTTGGATCCACCGATTTAATCCCGTCCTTTGACAAAACCTTGGAAGCTGTCTTGTGCACTTAGGGTTTTGCCCGCCCCAACATAAACTTGACAAAACCAAACCCTGCTGCTCTTCTTTATTGCTACGACCTGATATTAAACCGCAGGCACCGGCAGCGGGAGCCCCCCCAGGTGCAGCGGGCCCTGTGCCCCCTCCTGGTCCGGGGCCCCCTGACAAGCATTACGCCTTTATCGAGCTCCGTTCAGTGGAAGAAGCATCAAATGCGATGGCGTTCGACGGCGTGGCGTTCAAGAATGCATACCTGAAGGTGCCCTAGGTTTCAGGGTTTTAGGGTTTTAGGGCTTTAGGGTTTTGGTGGTTTCATGGACGGAAATCGAGTCAATACGGTAAAGCGTTTAGATATGTTTTATCTGGTCTAACTTTTTCTTTATAATCACATGTGTGCATGCATTGTCTGTAACAACATATTGTCCATAGTTTTCAATTCGCGTTTCTATGAGGCTTTCAGCTGCCGCCTGAAGGAGCCCCTGCGAGTGTGGTAGCACATCTAGCTCGTCATTTTTAATGCAAGCGCATCGGAGCTCATTATCTTGATGCCGACCCCAGGTTTCCAGTAGGGTGGCGCTTCGCACTGCCGTTGTGTATATGTATGTATGTTGTTACAGGGTGGTTATGCTTCACCAGCGCCCCCTTTTCCCGAGGCAGTTCCCTGCTCTCCCCTGCTAGAGGGGCACCCTAATCCGTTCACCCCTCACCCATCCGACGGTTCAGCAACTCACCACCAGCATCCAACCAAATCTAGCTGATCAACGGCGCCTCAACTTAGGGTTTATATATCTATATATGTTTATGTATGTTTATGCGTGTTTATGTATATATGTTTATGCATGTTTGGTTGCATGCATGGTCGCGGCAGGTACGGAGACCCAGCAACTACGACCCCGCAACTGCCGTGATGCTAGGACCTACGACGCCGGACCCTACCATCGACTTGTCCCAGTTGGAAATCTGCCGTACGGTGGTTGAGAACTCCCCGCACAAACTCTTCGTCGGTGGTTTGCCGTGTGAATGGGGCGAGGACATGGTAAGCCTCATTGGCCGACAGTGGCCGGGGGGGGGCCGCAGCGCATTGACAAAGCACGCCTTTTCGCGTACGGCACAGGAACTCAGATTAATGTGTGGCATAATTTTCCTGTTACTGCCATAGAAAGCGAGTAGAATACAGCGCACCGAAACCATGCATCCCTCCTGTTTGGTGTACGGCACAGGTGAAGGAGCTGCTCATACCGTTCGGCACCCTGAAGAGCTTCAATCTTGTGATGGACAAATCCACCGGGAAATCCAAGGTAAGCACCACTTTCGTATTTTGTAATACAGTGGCTACAATGTCGTATGCATGCCGAGCAACAAAGAAGCATTTCCCGTTTTTCAATTTTGAGGGAGTTAATGCTCCCGGGGGCAGATGCCGAATGTTGGTGCGTACCTTAACTTTCATGAATTTATTATCCTCCAAACCAGAGCGGACACGAAGACGACCTACAGACGAGTTTTCTTAGTTATATGTTGTACGGCCACGTACGGATTGTAGTTTCGATGACGTCATTCCAGGAAACAACAACTAGGAACAAAGGCCCTTCTGGAAATGGCGGAGCCAACAAAAGGGGGTGCCGCCCTCATCCTGAGGTTCTTATATCTCAGTTCTTTGGATAGAACTGCAAATAAAGCGTGTACCTGGATCCACCCGTACCTGGATCTACCCGTACCTGGATCCACCCGTACCTGGATCCACCCGTACCTGGATCTACCCGTACCTGGATCCACCCGTACCTGGATCTACCCGTACCTGGATCCACCCGTACCTGGATCTACCCGTACCTGATTCCACCCACCGTGCAGGGTTACGCCTTCTGCGAGTATGTGGAGGACAGCTCCGCCGAGGTGCTCATCAAGAACCTGCATATGCGTCGGATCGGCAGCAAGGCACTCACTGTCAAACGCGCCATGGAAGGGAGCCGTACTGGCGGTGGGGGTGGCGTCGGCGTCGGCGTGGGCGGCCCGGGCGGCGTGGGCGCATCCCTATCCACCGGCGGCGCCGGTCCCTCAGCCATGGCGGCGGCGGCGGCCGCGGCGGCCGCGGCGCAGCAGCAGCAGCAGCAGCAACAGCTGCTTGCCGCGGGTCCTCCGGGGATGGCGCCGCTGACGCCGGCAAACATGACCGTGATGTCGCGGGTCGCGGCGGCGACACCGACCGGGGCTGGCGGCAATACCCCTGGCAGCGGCCCTGGCGGGGCAGCGGCGGCGGCGGCGGCGGCCATGGCGGCAGCGGCGTTGGGCGGAGACGGCACCTCTTCGACATCCCTTCGAAGTGGCTGGGATGCAGACGGTATGTTTGACCTGTCAGAACCTTTCCACTCTTACTACGGGTACCAAGAGTCTTGCGGTTAGCGAATGTACGATTGTACGGGTGTACGGCTGCACGGTCAACAGATCCTCTCCTTTTAATCCAAGGGGGTCTTAAATACCTCCCAACTCTAACCAACCCTAACCACCCCCAACCGCCTAGGAGGCTCACATTCAGAACAACTTCGCAAACCAACCAAACCAACGCCATGACAGGGCCAACCAGAAGGGCATACCACACATGAGCAGTCCTGACAGCTAAGCAGGCAAGCAAAAGCATCACCTGTTGTGACCCCGTGTCGATGAAGCAGCGCCGTATGAAGACACCACGAAAAGCTTTACCTCTTTGCTTTTTGTGGTTCCACGCCCACCTTCCCTCAGCATGTGTCGCCCCCCCCCTCCCCCCCTGCGAACATCACCCCTGCAGTCACGGAAGCTATCAACGTGCTGCTGCAGTCACATAGCGCCGCTGCCGCCCAGCGAAATTTGTTCGCTGCGGCGGCGGCTGCCGCCGCGACGGCAGCGAACCCGGCGGCGGCCCCGCCGCCGCCGCCGCCGCAGCCACCGCCGAACACCGTTCCCCCCGGCTTAGCTGCGGCGCTCCACCAATTCCACAACCGCGGCGGTGCGGATCTAAGCACCGTCGGCAGCGGCGGCAGCGGCGCCAGCTCCGAGCTTGCCGTACAAGGTGTACGACCCATGGGTGCTGGACACCATCCGGGACATCATCCTGGCCACCACCATTCGCAGCACCCGCACGCACATCAACATCAACATCATCAGCAGCAAGAGGCGGCGGCGGCGGCGGCAGAAGCCGCAGCGCAGCAGTTCGCGGCGGCGGCGGGGGTGGGCGCCTTCGACTTGTCGACTCTCGCTGGTCCTGGAATCCGATTCTGGTAAACGCTGCAGCCACGTAAAATGGAATGCTACCTATCAAACACGACACTTAACCTCATGACACTTCACTTCACTTCACTTCACTTCACTTCACTTCACACATGATGATCCTTCCTCTCCGGCTTGCTTCCCCGCGTCCTTCCTCTCCTGTCGTACTTCTCGTCCACTTCCTGTTGCTCCTGTTCCTTACTTTAAAAACTTTCTGAATTTAAGGGCAACGTAAGACCCCTCTCGTGTAGTTGGGCGACGGTGGCGGCGATGGTGGCGGCGATGGTGGCTGTCGAGGCCGGGAAGAGTCGCATCGTGCTTTCGGTGATTTGGGCAAGGCGGCCGTTGGAAGTTGGTGGTTGTTATTCTCGTTGGTCTTATCGCGTCTACCTTCATTCCTTGCGACCTTCGCGCAACACTGATGAGCGATTCTCGCGTGTCAGTCGAGCGTTGGCCATTTTGGGTTCTTGTGGCCGAATAGCGGTTGACCGTTGGGGTTGATTAGGGTGGTTAGGCTGATTGTTGGCGATAATGTACGGAGGCGGGCGGTAAGGAAGGCGCATATTCATGGCGGCTTCACAGCCCCCCCCCCAAGAGCCGTTCACGGCGCTTTTTATTAAGGTGCATGTATGTATGTATGTATGTATGTGTGCTTATGTGCGTATTAGGAGGACATACGTATGCCTGTGTTTGTGTGTATTGGAGGGAGACATGTTTCCGCAGGCGTACGTCCACATCGATGTCCGTCTTTGCGTGTGTGCTTTAGAAGCATCGACGTGTGTTCTCGTCTGTAAACGTGTGTGTATCGTTAGGCGTTGCGAACGTGTACGTGTATGTCTTTAGGAGTGAAGAAGCGTGCGATGTCTGTCTGTTTGTCTGTCTGCATGTCTGTCTGTCTGTCAGTCTGTCTGTTGTCTGTCGAGTCGAATTCTTAGAACTTCGACTGATTCGAATATCGCTGCACAGAACCTGAGGGACCGCCGTACACAGGGCGCTGATTGGCGCCCACATTGGCCTCGGTAGCCGTACTAATATGCCGTACCGTACTGCAGGAAATTCGTACAATGCATGGGACGCCTCCCGGCGGGACACGTTGCGTCTTGTCCGACCATTCGTCTGTCTCCCAATCTGTCTGTCTGTCTGTTCGCCAGCCACTGTCTGTCTGTCTGTCTGTCTGTCTGTCTGTCTGTCGTTCGGTTGTTCGGTAGTCCCTTGCAGTGCGCCGGAATGCTGCTGGGTTCAGGGGAGGGGGTAATGAAAGCAACGGAACGGATGGCGGAAGGTGCGACAGGCACTCAGGCACAGAGATAGGCAGGCAACGGGTGTGGATGTGCGGGTGGGTGACAGAATAACCCGTTTGGCGACATCTACGTGTAGTTGCCGTGCCGGCTGCCGCCGCCGTCGCGGCCGCCGTCGCCGCCACCGCCACCACCACGTTTACTACACGTGTCATAGAAGGAAAAGCCGTCACAACGCATTTCTTCGCCTTTCGGCTGACGTGCTACCTATTCTCTTCCTTCCTTTCCGTGTTGTTGCGTGCCGGCGACGAGTTTTGAGAGGCTTTCGCTGCGAGACAGATGCGCTAATGGTGCTGGTGCTGTTGCCGGTGCTGTTGCCGGTGCTGCGGGTGCGGCGACGGCGAGGCAGATGTTGCTGTTGTTGCTGTCCTGTTGCTGTTGCCCCTTCAGGCCTTCACGACAGCGTGCACACGTCATAGTGCGTCTCCATGTCCAAATTGCTACGCGCTAATGGTGGTGGTGTTGGTAGTGGGTAGTGGTGGCCAGGGTGATACAAATCAGGACGCTGATAATCATGATAATGATGATGAGATAAAGGTGGCGGCTAATGTAGGCCATGAAGCATAAGGCCCTCGAGCGGCCCGTTCATTTTACCGTATAAACACACACACCCACACACACGCGTAAACACACGTGTGGTCGCACATCTCACAGAGCACGTTGGGGAGCTTGTTTGTGGCAGTGTGGTAGTGTGGTAGTATGGCAATAGCAGCGGTGCTGGTGTTGCAGTGATAGTGGTGGTGATGATAGCGGCCCGTTGGTGGTGTAAACGATGGTAGCAGCATGAGACGATTGTCGTGATACTGGTGGGATAATGGAGCGGGTGGGGGGGGAAAGATAGGGGTAAGGGGCAACGCAGCGTCTCCTCTCTTCCGCTTTCGGTCCCGATCCTCCTTCCTTCCCCTTTCTATCCGGCTACACACACAAACACATCTCTACACACGCCGATTTGGGACATGCGGGACGAAAGAAGGGTTGAATAATTGGAGGCCGCGTGGGTGCTGGCATCAGTGTAGC